TTACAATTCTAATGTTATTTCTACATTTTGAATATAGAGTTTATGAAATAAAAGAGTTAAGGGCTGGGGATTTAGTTCAGCAGTGTAAGTGCCTACCTGGCACTTGTGAGGTCATAAGTTCATGAGTTCAATCCCTGGTACCAAAAAAAAAAAAAAAAAAAGTTAAATGTGTCACTGGCTAGTGTGGGTCTTTGCTTCAGTTATAATGGAAATTAAACAGGGATTCACCACAAATTTACAGGAAGAAAACTTTAATTGGAAAGAAAAAATCAAGAGGGTTGGGTACAGCTCTTGATAAAAGGTCAAGCCTATTTCCTAACAAAGGAAAGTAAGAGAAGATAGGGAAAGGGCTTCAGTTTGAGGAAATCCAGGTGCACAGATTTGAAGAGGAGGATCACACTAGCCCATTAATGAAGAAAAAGGATCAGTTTTATGGGGTGCTAGGGGGGTTTGTGTCTAGTTGATCATGATCTCAGTCCTGGTTTCTTTCCTCTGGAGGAATCCTCGTGATTTGAGGGGAAATGATTGTTTTCATTGGGGCAGTCTCCAGACATTTGAGGCTCCCTTCAAAGTGAAAGTGACTCTGGAGGCTTCTGAGTGTAGCTGGATGTTCCTGTAGATCTCTGATTTTTGTACCCTCATCTTCCTGTAAATCTCTGATCTTTATATCCTCAGTCTTGAAGCAGGATGTGATAGGCTAGGTAGATAAGGGCTAACAAATCTCTTTGGGGTTGCAGCTCAATGTTGGAGCACTTGCAAAACAAGGCCTGGATTTGATTCCCAGCATTAGAAAACAAAACAGAACAAATTAAAAAAAAATACAAAATCCTTGTTTACCAACTTGTAAATGGACATTTGCTTAGTGAGTAAATGCCTGTTGCACAGCTGAGAAAGAATTTGACACAGTTTTGCAAAATAAAGGTTAATCAGTTTTTTTCTACTTCTGTTTATCTGTTGAACATTTGTAGGCTCAAGTGAAATCATAGGTTTGTTTTTGTTTTTGTTTTTGTTTTGGTACCAGAGACTGAACTCATGACCTTGAGCTTGCTAGGCAGGCACTTATGCTGCTGAGCTAAATCCCCAGCCCTGTTTGTTTGTTGTTTTAAGCAAAAACTGCTTTTATGAATGCCTCAGAAAGACACACAAACCTTGCTTTTCATGACTAGCAGGTTAAGGGCCTAGGAATTTGTCCTCTGTCCCTATGGTGGTTTCTGAATGTGTCAAATGTATTTAGATTTGGGTTGAAATGCTTTGTGGATATTTAATGGTACATTGATAGGCATAAATCTTACTAAAAAGTAATTTTTTCCTTTAAAAAAAAGTCATGAAATAAAAGATTTTGAGATTCTGAAAGATTTGAACCCTCACTTTATAGCAATAGGTAATTTGCTCAAGTTCATATAGCTGGTACCAGACCTGGAACTACAGTCCAGGTCTCTTGGTTATCATTACGGCAGACTCCCTACCGTGTATTTTTAGTACTTCCAAATTTATAGGGGTTTTGTGGACAGAGACTTGAAAGTATTAGGTAACCATGATCTCAGTATGAACCTCTGATAGCCCAAGAAAAGCAGGCTTTTTTGGGTTGTTTTTTTAAAGCTTAAGAGCAACCCAGAGTCTGGATGGAGGATGCTGTACTCTGAGCTTAGTAGGGCAGATTTATCTTGTAATTGTGTCCAGCTCCAGGGTGCTGATGCACTGTGATTATTATAGGCTGCTAATTTAAACAGAAATTAATAGACAGACAGGGATGGGCCCAGAAGAATATCAGTGCAAAAGATGAGAGCACACAAAACCTGTGGCTGGAGACACATCTGTTTAAGGTGACATATTATGATAAAGATGCAATGACCAGTCCTACATGTTTTGCTGAAGGATAAACAGTGACTTGAGATTATGCTGTGATTGCTATCACCTGGTCCTGGTAAAGTCTAGGTAGTTGTCAGTCACCTAGGTGAGTGACCAGAACATCTGGATGAAGTCACCCAGGTGGATGTCCAGAGCATCTGGACTGCATTCCTTCCCCAGAATGCCTTCTTTCCATGTACCCTTGCTTTGTGGCTTGCTTCTGTGTTAGATCAATATTAGTTGAAGAGCTGCCTTATATATAGGTTGATTGTAGTTTGACCCATGTTGAACCCATTATTGTGACTTTGCTATATAAATTACCCCTGACAAAGGGCCCCAGTGGCAAACTATTTTTGGGACCCCCACCTTCTCTTAGGAGCTGTCTCTCAATAAATCATTCCTACTCTTAATCCTTAGTTGTACCTTGAAATTCACTCTTTGATTTGGGTGGGACACGAATTTAGCATATCTGACATATAACAGATTGGGACACAGTGTCATTAAACACCAGGCAGCGTAGGAATCCAGAGGAGTGGCTGGGGAATTAGTGTTACTGACCTAGGAAATGGCACACTAAGGGCAACATAATTTGCCTTTTTTATTTTAGACAGTGTCTTGCTATGTAGTCCAGGCTGGCCTTGAACTCACTGTATAGCCCAGGCTGGCCTTGCGTTTGTGGCAGTCCTTCGGCTTCGGCCTTCTGAGTGCTGGGATTACATGCACCACCACTCCTGGCATTTTTTTTTCAAATAATAGAATTATGAAGGATAGGAAGTTCTTTACTATCCATTAACATCTTATTTCTTTCACTAACTGAGTTCCTCAAAAGTAGGTATATTTGCCCACTTTCTCTGACCTCTGTCTTTGGGTTTCGTATTTACATTTGATTAGGTATTACGAATAATATAGATGTGATTTAAAGTGCAGAGGATTTGTATTGATTCTGTGCAAATACTACTTTGCATATATGGGCCTTGAGTACCTGCAAATTTTGGTATTCATAGGGGTCCTGGTACTAAACCCCCACAATACTGAGGGACAGTTACATTGCCCTATTCATATTCTTATATTTATATATAAACATATATATTTCCTTCCTGACTAGTTTCATGGCTTTTGCCTTTCATTGTATAAAGTGTTGAGCATTGAGTCAGTAATGAGTTACTTAAGACTTTTTATTAGTCTGATGTTTGTATTTTTTGGTCAATGATATGGTGTGTAGGATAGCTTATAAAAGGCTTCCAAGACAATTTTTTATTATATGTAGTCTGGTTTTATTTGAAATATTACTTTATGTGGAAGATAAGAAATGGCTCTATATTTGTTTTCCTTAGTAGGTTTTAATCATAAAATCTGGTAGATGTAAAGGAAGTTCTGGAATTTCCTGTGTTGCTTCACATGTGTAATTAGGTTTAGGCAGGCTTGTAAACCTGGAGCTATAAATCCCGTCCTTAGGAGCGGGTAAGCACTGAGACGTTTTGGTAAAGGTTTTGGCCACTCAGCCTCCTAAAATGTAGGATTTATTTCTGTAATGGGAACAGTTTGAATTTCCATCCATGCCTAACAAATTAAAGTATTATCTTAAATAGAAAAGCAGTAAATATAAATTAATGATTGTAATTAAGAATTTTATCTTTATAGCTGTAACTTAATGCACATTGATCTAGACCTAGAAATAAACTTTTTGGTTTAAAAAAGATAGTCTATATTAAATAACAAGGTACTGTGTGTGGTGGCATACGCCTATAATCCTAGCACTTAGGAGGCTGAGGTAGGAGGATCTCTTCGAGTTAGAGGCCAGTTTAGGCTACATAGTGGGTTCAGAGCCAGCCTGAACTATGTAACAAGACCTGTCTAAAAACAGCTACTATGAAAACAACAACAACAACAATAAAAAAAAACCCCAACAAACAACCCTGGCACTTAGTACTTCAAAATGGAAACTTGTTTAAAAATACTGTGCCTGCACTGGGCTGGGCATGTAGCTCTGTGGTTAGAGCAAATGCTTAGCATGTGTGCAGTCCTGTGTTCAGTCCCCACTAACCTTCATTCCCACTCCCACAAAAAATCCAGCATTGATCATAGAACAGACAGATACATCCAGAAGGGACAGATTGCACAGTATTGTTTTAGTGTCATTACAGTTTACTTACATCGTGTGACATGTTTATTGGGATAGGAAGCTCTGTGTATGAATGCACTGGAGGCCCTATGAACAGCAGAAACCTTTGGAGTTTGGATTCAGGTTACTGTTGCTTAAGAATAATTGGCCCAGGGAGAGTTAGTTACCTCTCTGGCTCTCAATTACCCTACCTTTATGTGTCCACGTGGTAGACTTTCTTTTTTTCTCCCAGTACTGAGAATTGAGTTTAGGACCTTCAAACTGAGCAACATTTCCAGCCCTTTTTATTTTGTTTTAAAAAAGGGTTTTTTTGGAGACAGGGCTTTGCTATGTAATTAAGGGTTATTTTGTTTAAATTTTGAGACAAGACATCACTGAATTACCCCAGTTGGACTTAAACTTGAAATCCTCTTGCCTTATCTCCAAGACAGGCATGGGCCAGCACCTTTTGCTTCCTGGTAGGTTGCTTATGAGGATTTAGTGGCCTGTGCACTACTAAGTACTACATAGACGTGGTGCCTGCTGCCTGGGATAGGCTTGAGGGGCAGCCTCAATGGCTTTTCTTCTCATTTTGGAAACAGTGCATCTGTGTTTTAAAGAAAACACTCTTTTGACAAATACACATGACGTACTTCATGGGTTATTGTAGTTTGAGATTATTCTTAGCACATAGAGATGAGATTCAGTGTTCTATGAGAAGAGCGAATTTTTTTATTTGTATAAAAATAACAATACTGTGACTTGGCTGGAGTGGAGGTAGTTAATGAGTGCTCATGAGATGCCCTTGAGTAAAGTTGAATGCTGGACAGGAGCAATTTTCACTTCATCCCTGTTTTCAGTGTCCAAAGCTTGCGCTGTGGACTGTGCTAGTCCCTTTCTCCACTCTAAAATCTTTTCCAGAGGGCTCCAGGAAAGAGGCCTGGATATCGATTCCTCCCCTTTAGTCAGGATATAAGCCCAAGATCTACTTCTTAAATTATGATGTTTTTTTCATTCTTGCTTTTTTTTTTTTTTTTTTTTTGGGAGACAGAGTTTGGCATGCCGTTCCACCTAGCATTGAACTCAGTGCATAGTCCTGACTGGCCTTGAACTTGGAGTGATCCTCCTGCATCAGCCTTTCAAATGCTGGGATTACAGGTGTGTGCCACTATACCCGAATAATCCTTGCTCTTAATAGTGGTTGTTTTAGAAATTTGTGAAAGTGTTTTTGCTTATCTCTGGTTGGTGGGTGTTACTGGCTTTTAATAGGGGCCATAAAATTCTAAACTCAATGCAGTAATAGTTCTAAAAAATGGAACTTGTCCTGTGATCATCACAGCATTAGAATATCTTGCTGAATAGTTTGTATAGACCAAAAAACTTTGACTAAGCCTATATAAAATTCCATTTTATATAAAGCATTTTTATAAAGTAGGTAAAATTTTTATATATGGAGTTTATAGGAAATGTAATTCCTATACATATTGAGGGAAAATTTGTTGTTTCTGTAGTTTTTTGATATTGTTTTTGCTTTTTGATGCAGAATCTTGCCATATTGGTCAGGCTGATCTTGATCTCAGTACCCTAGTTGACCTCAAACTCATAGCAGTCCCCTTACCTCAGCCTCTTGAGTGCTGGGATGTTTGTAGTTTTTCTAAGTATTAGGGTTCTTTTGAGAAACAGCCAAAGGAGGTGGGTATTATATAAAATATATAAGTGTGGGTATGTGTATATATGTATTTATTATTAGGAATTAGCTCTTGTGATGGTAGAGGCTGAGAAAAATCCCATGATCTGCAAGCTAAAAACCCAGGAGAACTGATATTATGTTTTAGTCTGAGAACCAGGAGAACAAATGATGTAAATCTCAGTCTGGAATTTGACAGGCTCACGACCCAAGAAAAACTGACATTTCATTTGGAGTTGGCGGAGAATCCTGATAGCTTAGTGGTCAGAAAGAAGTTGGTTTTTTCTTACTCAGTTTTTGTCCTATGCATGTCATTGTTTGATTGGATAAGGACAATTAGAGAGGTTAATCTTTTTTACTCAGTTTATTGATTAAAATGTTAATTTAATGAACAAAAACCTTATAGATATATCCAGAATAACATTAGACCAAACATCTGGGCACCCTGTGGCCCAGTCACATTATCACATAAACTTGACTATCACACTAAGAGTAGTTTGCCTTTTAAGAAAATTCAGATAGAATTTATGATGATAATGCAGTAACTCAGTTGCCAGTACCATTAAAGGAGGATTATTTGTAGCTGCCAAATTTACACTGATCAATTTGGAGTTGTAGATTACTATTTTACAGAACTCATTAAAATTTGAAATTCACGGTTATTATAAATTTTATTTTTATTGTACTCTTTATATTATATATGTATAATATATTTAGAAAATGTGTACATCATAGTTTATCTTTGCATTTCATTTCAGGACAGTAAAGATATATTTTACAGAGTGTTTAGAGAACGGGGTATAATGTGTGAGAACTATTGATCTAAATGAATTCAGCCTGGCAGCCTTGTGGACCAGTCTTCAGCTCAGCATTTTCATCACTTTTGCTGTGCTTGTTTCTCCCTTTAGGACCTCTCCAAAATCATATCTTTCTCTTTGCTGGGTGTTTTAGTGTTGGACTATTTCCCCAAAATTCTTTTTTATGTTATTCATTAGTTTTTAAATTTTACCTTTATTGAATAAATTAATTCATCATATAGTTTACTCATTTAAAATACAAAATTTAGTGTTTCTACTGGGTGTAGTGACCTGTACCAGTAATCCTAGCACTCGAGAGGCTGAGGCAGCAGGCTTGCTGTGAGTTTGAGGACAGCCTGATCTATGTAGTGAGTTCAAGACAAACTACGTATTCAAGACCTTGTCTCTAAAAAAAAAAAAAAAAAAGAAGGAAAGAAAGAAACAAAAAAACAAACACCCTTCGTTTTAATGTTTTTCAGTTGAGTCACAGAATTCCTTAGCTACAAGCTAATATTAGAATTTTACATCATCCTAAAAGAAACCTAATACACATTGGCAGTCAATCTATATCTGCCTCCAGTCCTGATTCCTTGGAATAACATGTGCTCTATCTGCATGAGTTTGCCTAGTTTAAATAATTTATATAAATGGGATCATGTAATAATTGATCACTTGCATCCAGCTTCTTCTATTACCATTTTAAGGTTTATCTGTGTTGTAACATGTAACAGTACTTTGTTCCTTTTATTTTGGTGGTACTGGTGATTGAACTCAGGACCTTCACACTGAGTTACACACACACACACACACACACATTTTTTAAAAATTTTTTATTTTTTTATCGGTACCAGGGATTGAACTCACGACTGCCTGCTTGCAAGACAGGCGCTTATGCTGCTGAGCTAAACCTCCAGGCCCCCCCCCCCGCCATTTTTTTTGGTACTGGTAATCGAACTCAGAACCTTGTGCTTGTCAGGCAGGCACTGCCACTGAGCTATATCTGTAGCCCTCATAAACTAAAAAAGAAATTTTTTAAAGACAGGGTTTCACTATGCTTTTCAGGCTGCTCTTGAACTCAACTATGTAGCCCAAGTCGGCCTTGAATTCCATTGTGACCCCCTTGCCTCAGCCTCACAAGTGCTGGGATTACAAGTGTGCATACCACTTCTGGCAACAATTTTAAGTTTAAACTAAGTAAAATTCAATTCCTTGATCATATTGTATTTTAATTGCCAAGTAGCCACTAAGTGGCTCCTACTGGGTACCCTGTTAATACATTTAGAGATATAGAACATTTTCATTATTGTAGCAAGTTCTGTTAGATAATTCTGATTTAGAAAGTGTCAATTTGAGATTGGACATGGTGGCTCAGGCCTGTAATCCCAGCATTCGGAGGGCTAAGGCAGGAAGGTCACCATGAGTTTGAGGCCAGCCTGAACTACAAAGTGAGACTCTGCCTCAAACAAAACAAAACAAACAAACAAACAGACAAACAAAAGTCAATTTGACAGATACTGGAAGAGTAAGCAGAGAATGGCAGTCTAAATGGTGTAATAGAATGGAATTCAGATGTGGAATATTTGGAGGAGAAAAAAACTTCAAGGAATCATTTACAAGATACATACAGAAACTCACATGCGAGAAGATGAAGGAAAGATTCTTATGTTTTTTATAATACTTTGAGTTAGCAGATCTATTCTGTGTAACTTATTTTGTGAGAAAATCTTCAATTGATGATTTGCAGGCATCAGTATGACTGTATTTCAGAGGTTACCGGAGACTCCTTGAGTTTGTTTTGGTCATTTTCATTATTGTATGGGAAGAAGTAAGAGATTAATGGAAGAGCTGGTGTAAGAGTGCTCACTCTAGGCAGATTGCGTAAATGGAAAAGAGTAGAAAGCAAAAGTTTTAAGAGTGCATAGGTAATTTGATTGTTGTGTACATCATTTTCGAGAGATGCTTTGAAGCTTCTCTGTGTTTTGGTGTGTTCCCTTTAGTTTACGGCTTTGTTATTTTGAGGGAGGAGAGAACCCTCCTGCCCTACCTGCCTCACTGTTCTGACCGTCACATTCCTTGTACTGGGGTGTTATGTCAAGGCAAAATAAAACACAGTCTATATAAAATACATATTAATAAGGCTGTTGGAATGAGCCTTTTTCAAACTCACTGTTTCATTTTTGTTAGTGTGGGAATATCTTCTCATATTCAATGTAGTGTCTTAGAATGATCCGTATAAACCACCATAGTTTCAAAACGGACTTTCATTTGGTTAATTGTATCTATCACCCTGTACAAAATGATCCAGTATGTCTTCCAAACATATTATTATAGAGACTGCTTTTCTAGCTTAGTTAACAAATGTGTTTAAGGGATTATCTAGCTTCAGCTTTGTATGCTGCTAGTGTTATTCCAAGTCTCCCTGACTTGAAATAAACTATGTATCACTTAGGTAGAAGAACTGTCATACTGTTTACAGCTATGTAGGATGGCCCTATTTTCTGAACCACTAGTTGGGACCAGTACTTTGATAATGGATTTCTATACTGCTTGATAAAAGAAATATGCTAGAAAATACATTTAGATTCTGAATGTTGGTATTTGTGATACTTTGCCTGCTGAGGTGAGAATATCACAACAAATATTTGTCTTTACAGTTTTTTTTTTTTGCTACTGGGGATCGAACTAACGACTTTGTGCTTGCCAGAGCAGGCGCTTATGCAGCTAAGCCAAGCCCCCAGCCCCCAAAACAAACATTTGAAATTAGGGCTTTGCTGGACAATTTGGAAATCATCCCTAGATACCAACAGTGGTTAGCTCCCACATGCCAAGACAATTATTCTTCATTTAATGCTGAAGATAATGTTCATTGTGTTATACTCAGTTCTGTTAAACAGGTTGAAATTCTTTTTACTCAGGGAACTAGAATGTACAGAATAATTCAAATTAGTACTGGTCAAGGAGGAAGAATTGAAAATAATGGAGCATTTTTATACTCAGTGAGAATACACAACATAATTTCAAATTAGTCGTATTCAAGGAGGAAGCAGTAAAAATAGGGTGCATTCTGCTAAATAAGTCTAAGGATTTTCATTTGTTTGCGCCAACTTTCAAACATTTTTATTTATAACAAAAATTTTCAAAAGTGCACAAAAAAAACATTTCTAAAGAGCTGACTTCCAATTTTGTCCTCTTCCATTTCTTTCCACAGATTTGATTGTAAATGCATCATAAAGAGGCAGCCCAGAATGAAGAAAGCAAGCAGGAGTGTTGGCTCAGTGCCTAAGGTGTCTGGGACAAGTAAAACACAGACAGAAAAAATTAAGCCTGAAAACAGCTCTTCAGCCTCTACAGGAGGAAAACTTGTAAAACCTGGAACCGCAGCGTTATTGTCAAAGGTAACAATGGGGGTGTTTGAATATGTGAAGGATTTTAGGCATATATTTTAATATGATTTTGAATTTGTTAAATGATTGTTTTTTAGGGTTTTCCTTCAAATGGTATTGGAAACACACTGCTCTTTGAAGTGAGGTTGCAGTGAGGTGGCCTTAATTGGTGTTTTGGGTTGTCTTTATGAATGAAACTAAATAATAGGCTTGTGTATAAAACAAACAATGAGTGCCAGCATTGTACAAGAGGTTATGCTTATGTGCACTGGAGATAGAGTCTGCCTGGAGGTAGCGTCTGTGGGGGAGCTGATGGAATAAAAGGTGGAGGTGAGACACAAACACAGGTAACTGAAACACATGTAGAAAATGTCAGATGCCTGGGCTCGCGTTTAGCTCAGTGGCACAAGCATATGCCTTGCAAGTGAGAGGTCGGGAGTTCAATCTTTGAAGAAAAGAAAAAGAAAAAGAAAATGCCAGATGCCTTAAGGGTATGGTGGAACAGTGTGAATGGTTTAAAGTAAGAGAATATTATTTCTAGCGCAGGAAGGTTTTATGAAGAGTGCTGAGCAAAGTCTTGGTTTTTTAGACACTATCACATTATATTGTTTGTTCAGGTTTGTTCAGGCTTCAAACTTGTAGAAAGCTTCCTCCTGCCTCAGCCTCCCAAGTGCTGGAATTACAGGCATGCGCCATCATATCCAGCCAAAATAGGGGATTTTAATTTATTAAGAACATATTTAATTTTTCTTTATACTCTTCAGAGACTGGCTTAATTCTTTTTTATGTAGAACATTGATTATTTAAACCATAAACTTCAGGAACAGACAGATCTGGGATCAGTATATGCTGCATAGGGCTGTGGTCATGATCAAATGAGGGAATCTATGAAAATCAGTGATGTGGGGCCTGGCATAGAGCAAGTGCATAGTAAATGGGAGTAATTGTTTTGTCTTGTTAGAAATCAAACCCAGGGCCTTGCACATGTTAGGCAAGCACTGTGCCACAGAGCTACGTCTCTCATGCAGGTAGTAGTAGCATTATTAGCCTTAGAAACTTTTTTCTAGCCCAGTGTTGAAGACACTTTTCCTTTGGAGTGTTCTCACTGTCTGTGTGTTGGTTTGGGCCTTTCAAGGGGCAAGATTACTCCATGCCATTTTTCTGTTGGTACAATCTTCGATAATCATTGCATAAAGATCCCTGTGGTCTTCTTCCAGCCTTTCTCAGTTCAAAAAAATTCTTCTTCTTTTTTGTAGTACAGGAAATTGATCCCAGGGCCTTTGTACTGAGCTGCATCTCTCCATCCCTTTTTAGTTTTAAATTTTGAAACAGGATCTCACTAAGCTGCCCAGGCTGGGCTCAGACTTGGCAGTCCTGCTTCAGCCTCCTAGAGCACTAGGATTATAGGAACAGACCACTGCAACCAGTCAAAACTCATTTGCTTCTTACTTTGCATGTGTTAGGTTTATGATATTTTCAGTAGAAGCTTTGACCCTGTGCAGAAACCCAGCAAGGTGTTTATTTACATTTTTAGGGGAGGCAGAATCCTGCTAATATAGTCCAGGCTGCCTTTAAACTGCAGGTGATCCTCCTACATGATGGGATTATGGATATTGCCCCCTCCCCCAGGGAATTTCTGCTAGTCTGATAGGGAGAAATGAAGCTAACCTGAAACATGTTCCATTTATAGGCCTTTTGCCTAAAAGTGCCTTAATTATTTTAAGAAGGACCTCAGAGGAACAGCTAGTGAAGGACTACCTTATATATGTGGAAAGATCTAGCAGGAAATGCTGGTTTTTCTACTCCAGGGTTATTAAACTAAAACTGAAACTTCTTCCATGGGGTTGGAGATAGCCTCAGATTTTCTCCTTGTTATACCTCTGATGACTTGAGGTATTATTTTGTGGTCTGGAGTATGGTTTCAGGAGTAGACCTTTGCCCTACTTCCGTTAGTTTGAATCAACACCCTGAACTATTTTCTTGGTGGCAGTGCTACCACTGTTTCATGTAAGATGGGCGGTATTTTCTGACCTGACTTGTTTCTCAATTGCTGGAGCTGTCTAACATGGAGTCCCTGTGTGACTAGTTGACCTGTTATTTGTGGGACTGGAAAAACAAGTTGAAACATTGGCATTAGATTTATACTCCTGCCATCTTTCTGTGGCCTCCTCATCAGAGGCAGGCAGTGTCCACAGATTTACTATGGAATGCGCACTGAGCAGGCATGTCAGATTTTCTTTGCCATGGATCTGGACTTATTGGTACTTTGGTCTTGAACAGTGAGTATTTTTCATTGTAAAGAAAAATTGTATATCAGCTTTTGCCAACACATGCCAGCAGTTCATATGTTTAGCTCTGCTGCACTGGCAGCTTTGAGAGAGAGAGAGACAGACAGACAGAGACACACAGAGAGAGAGAGAGAGAGAGAGAGAGAGAGAGAGAGAGAGAGAGAGAGAGAGAGAGAATGTGTGTAAGTAGTGGGAAGGGTTAAGGAAGAAGTAAAGCTATTTAGAAACATTTTTCCTAGACTAGAGCAGTTACTTTCACTTAAGAGAGGAAAAGAAAAATGTCATGGGTTAGAAATTGAAGTAAGGAAAGACAGAAGGAAGAAAATAGTGAAAATGAATGGAAAAATTGAAAACATTAAAGGACTTGGAGGGATTGGAGTATAGCTTAGTGGAAGAATGCTTGTCTGGCATGCATGAGGTGTTGCATAGGATCCCAGCACTGTAAAAAAAAAAAAAAAAGAGGGACCCTCAGTCTGATTTTGAATTTTTATTTTTCATTGTTTCTCTGGCACGTGATACTTTTCAGAACTTGAAATTCTATAACTAATGAAGCACTGATTACTAACTAGGTGAACCAAGTATTTAGCTTTTAATTATTTAGACATCATGTGTGCATACTCCTCTATTGTATAGACACCCATGCTCCTATGTATCTGTCACTGTACAAAATTTTTATTGGCAGGGTGTAGGAATGTACACCCTCCCTTCTTTCATTTCAGAAATTTAGATTATATTTAGTTGAGGGTTTAGGAGAAAGGATGCATTTGTTTTAGAGAACCTCACCATTGACTGGAACTTTTGTGAATGTAAAATGAAGCACTGTTACTGTTCTGGGTGAGTTTTGAGGTTAGTCCTACTGTAAAATTTAGTTAACAGGACCAGGGGCATAGCCAGTGGTAGAATTCTCAGCCTAGCATGCATGAGACCTGGGTTCAATTTCAGCATCACATATGTGTACACATGCGTCCATGCGCTCTCATTAACCATATAGCCAAATGAATTTCTGTCTCTGAATTTTGAAAGTTAAAATTTGAAAACTGGTCTTACTATCTGAGGTAAAGATGCAGACTAGGAAGTTTAAATTTGACCTTAAGAAATATTTTGGGGGCGGCTGGGGATTTAGCTCAACGGCATAAGTACCTGCCTTGCAAGCAGACGGTTGTGAGTTTGATCCCCGGTACTGATAAAAATGAAAAAGACAAAAAAAAAATTTTTTTTTTTGTATCTAGACTGTTTTTACTGAATGATCTGCGTCTTCCATGTTGTCATTGAAAAGTAGGCTAATAATCTGTTCTTTGTCAATTTATATCTTTGGACTGGATGGGGGGTGTTAAGATGTGGGAACACATGTGTTTGCAAAATCTTATATCAAAAATTTAATAGGGAAAAATAGTAACAAGCTTGTAAGTTGCTTAGTGGAAAAGACAAGATATAAAGGCAGAGTCATTTTTTTGTTTTTACTTTTTGTTGATGTATACTGTACATACAAAGAAATTCACAAATGTAAGTATTGAGCTTGGCAGATCTTTGCAAAGTGAACATGTCCTGCAACCACAACTGAAGCCATGCAGTTTCCCTGTTCCTTAGAAATTTTCCAGGTGCCCAACTTAATCATTGCCCTTTGCATCTTCTCTAGAAATAACTAGCATCTTAACATCTAATGCTAGAGGTAAATTTTGCAAGTTTTTGATCATTATACTAAATAAATGTGTAACCATAACTATGTTTTTTTTTTTTTTTTTTTTTTAGATGTGTAACTTGGTTTCTCATTATTATCCCATGTAACAGTAATTCCTTCCTCTCCACTGCTAGATGGTAATTTCTGGATGAATGTATTAAAATTTGTTCTCCTACTGTTGATGGGACTTTAGGCGTTCCCAGCATTGTTAGAACATTCTTATACAGGTACACCAATTTCTGTTTGCCCCAGTGAAATTACTGGATCATAGATGTATTTAACTTTAATAAACAGCAGCAGAAACTTCTCAAAGCGGTTCCTATTTATTTTAATTGGTCCACATTGTCACTTGCATTTAAATTGATACTTCTTTCATTTTAACCCTTCAGTGATTTATAAAGAAATTGGGCAATGGCTTTAATTTGTATTTACACAAATTAGTGAGTCTAGCATCTTCTTATCTTCCTGTTCTTGTTTATGTTTTGTTTTGAGGTTTTTTTTGAGACAAGGTTTTGCTAAATTGTTCAGGCTGTCCTCCAAATCCTAGGCTCAAGTGTTCTTCCTAGCATGTTGACTTTACAAGTATAGATTCTACCACCATGCCCAGCTCTGCAGTATACTGTTTTTGTGTGTGTGTGTGTGTGTGTGTGTGTGATTGAACCCAAGACCTCATGTATAGTAGGCAAATGCTTAATCATTGTGCTGCATCTCAATCCTTTTTAAAAATTTTATTTATTTATTTATTTGGTCTTGCTAGTAGTTCAGCGTGACCTTAAACTCACTATGTAGCCCAGGCTGGCCTCAAACTCATGGCAGTCCTCCTGCCTCTTCCTCTGGAGTGCTAGGATCACAGGCAGAAGTTTTATTTTGAGATAGGATCTGGCTCAATTGTTTAGGCTGGCCTCAGAGTGGCACATCTCCTACCTCAGCCTCCTGAGTAGCTACTATTAACGTTGTGTGGGCACTATGTCCAGCTCCAGTGTATTCTTCACCATGATTCATCATACATTGACCTTTTGCCTTTTGTCATAATTACATTATTCACA